GGGGATTAAAGCCAAGACACAATTGGAGTTTAATCTGACAAAGACAGATAAAGTCTTAGCTGAAAGGTATATCTGTAATAAGAACAAATAGCAAAAAAAAAAAACAAAAAACCCCCATGTTTTATGTGAAGCCATGTTTATAATATTGACACAGTTCTCTGTTTAAATTAGGGCTTTTGATTTTTTCTTGATAAAGAGTAAAAATCAAACAAAAGAACGTTTTAAAAAGAGTTTTATACTCACAGTGGTTGAGAATGTTGAATTCCTAGCCAGAAGAGACTGCCTGGAGAAGCACTAACCCTTCAGAACTGGATTTTAGTGCAAGTGTTGACACAGTGTTAGTTATCATGAGTACAACACCAATACATTATTCCTTTAAGGAAACAGACAGTGTTGAAGCTGCCCTGTAATTTGGCACAGAACACTTCTATACTAATGCAATGTGACAATGACGATGTTATTATGTCTGCTATTTTCCATGCCATAATAGCAGTATTTGTTTCCACAAACATGCCATTACACTCACTAATATGGCTATACTTAAAGACTGCCCGAGTAAAAACCAATGTAAACTTATAGAAAGCAGATAATCTCTTCTCTGCTGTGTCAGGGTAATTTTCAACCCTATTCTTATTAAGAAAAAAAAAATAGATATATAGGATACCTTTCTCTACATAACCCGCTGTTAGATATGGTTACTGTGTTCATGATGTATTTTCTCATTGGACATGTATCCATTCGTAAGAACAGCCATTAATTGTCCTTTTAGTACAGTCTCTTTATGATACCATTTGTAGGAAAAACCACTGCTGCAAGCTTTACACCAATCAGTGTAACACTTCTGCCTATCACATCTAAAGAGCACTAGTGCCCTGAATCTCTAAGTGTCATATCACATCACAGGAATAAAATTACAAACTGGATAGCATCTTGGGGTCTAAACTTGTCCTGCTGTGCATATCTTCCAGCAGACAGGACACTGCAGCACACTGAAAGCTCCCACCTCTGCCACCAGGAAGGCTTAGGGTCGACATGCACTTCATACTCACTGGATTACTGAGATTTGCGACTTTATTAGTTGCTGTTCCTGACTACACTTTTAAAACTATAGCCTTACACTTAGCTGACCCAGTTCTTTTTCCATAGGAGTGAATTCCCTAGATTTCTCCTTCTTCCCTAGCAGACACACAGAGGACACTCTTGGACTAGGAAAGAAAACAATCTGCCTCACCTGGTGTTTATTATGAGAGAACTTTACAAAAAAACCCCCAAACAAACAAACAAACAAACAAAAACCCCTTCATTTTCATTTCCACATTTTCACCTCTGGTAATACACTGAATAGCACAGGAGTAATAATTAGCTGTTATCACAAAAATTAAAGAAACATCTTGCACAGCATATTAATGGAATGGATTATAACACTTTCCAAGAAACCACTTCCTTCGTTATTTCCTCCCCACTTTCTGTTTTGGAAATTTAGGACAAGAAGGATACCCGTGAAACGTTTGCACTGTTAAGCCCAGGAATGATGCATGTCAGATCTTTGTGCTCTAGGGTTACTATGGGAAATGCATTGAAAGTATCAGCTCAAATGCAGAAAGGTAATTTGTGCACATTTATGCAAATTGCAGATGATCTGAAGCTGGGAGGAGTAGTTGATTGATCACATGCATGTGCTGCCATTCAAAGGGATGCTGACAAGCTGGAGAAATGCATTGGCAAGAAACTCCTAAAAAATGCCAAATCCTGCACCTCGGGAGGAATAAACCCTCACATCAGGACAAGCTGGGGTCTGACCAGCTGGAAAGCAGCTTGGCAGAGAGGGATCTGGGCATCCTGATAGTCAGCAAGTTGTATGTGCATCAGCAATGTGCTCTTGTGGCAAAAAAAAAGAAGACCAGAACTGGTTGTTGCTGGTAAAACTTTGCAGAAAGGTTGAGAGATGTAATCCTTCCACACTACTCAGCTCTGCTGAGATGCATCTGGAGCACTGCCCCCATGTGCTGGGCTACCCAGTGCAAGAACAACATGAGAACACAGGAACAAGCCCAGCAAAGAGCCACAAAGGCCATCAAGGGCTCTCTCCTATGAAGAGAGGATGAGGAGGCAGGGGCTGCTCGGCCAGGAGAAGAGAAGGCTCAGTGGGGATGCATCAATGTTTTTAAATATCTGACGTATGTGAGGTAAAGAAGACAGATTTTTCTTAGTGGTGCCCAGTGACAGAGCAAGAGTAAATAGACACAAATAAATATATGAAATATCATTTAAACTTTAGGAAAATATGTGTACTGTGAGGGTGAATGAGCACTGTGACAGGTTTCCCAGAGTGGTTATGGAGCCTTCATCTTTGGAGAAGATGATGCAGACAACCTGTGCAATCCGACTCTGCTCTGAACAGAGGGGTTGGACAGGTCCCCTCTCACCTTGGCACCTTTATCACTGAAATTTCTGCTTATATATGCTCCCTAAGAACTCGTGGAACCAATCAGAGGTGAGATGTGATGTGTTAAATCCTGGCTGAAAGAGCCACCTATCTAAACATCCACTCGGTCTTATCTGACTGTTGTTTTCTTCCCTCCTCCTTCATCTGTCCAGCATTTTCGCAATAACAGCACACTTTCTAAGAGTGTTTTCATGGAGATACCATCACCTTGGTTGAGGGAACTAAGTACTTCTAACTGTTTCTCTTATTACCATTGACACTTATTTTTAAGTGGTCAATTTTTGGAGTTTTGAGACTGAAAAAAAATCTCTGTCTATGAAATTTTGACATCTTAAGTATTCCATTTTCTATAAAACAGTATATTCACTTGTAAAGTGAGCCAAGGGCCTGCCTGAGTAGCAACACTGGGTTAAATTTGAGCTTCTGTCAACCAGCGTCGCTCCACGCACAATCTGCAATGGAAACATGCTCAAGAAGGTGCCCACATCCTTCCTGAAGGGGAAGCATTTTCAGCAACAAGCAGGTGCTATTCCAGACCTGTCGCTGGAAGGTTTCCTCACATGAAGGGAATTTGTCTTATTTCCGTGCTGTGAGGTTTAGTCTGTGGCGTGCAGCCTGTGCCGCTTTGCAAAAGCTGTAGTAACATTTCATCATTTCCCTTCCCATTATGCTCTTCCCAAACACAGCAGAGAGCAAGCTTGGAGCATGCAGATGACACTGGCAGCATCATCTTTCCTCCTTTCCTGCACATTTACCGTTATGAAAATTCTCTCTTATTAGATGGGCTTTGCAGATTTTCTTGGTATCTGAACCAATCTAAGGAGCCAAGATAAAGCAGAAACCTAGTGTATTATATTTGCTAGACTCTGCATTCTGTTACAAAACATCCATATCGAAGATAAATTTATATTTCATGCATGTGATTAAAAAGAAGGTAAAATATATTTTTATGAGAATAAAGTAAGTGTTTTTAGCAACCAGCTTCTAAAAGGGCTCATTTACCATCATCAGAAATGGCATATTGTGAAATATCTCAATTGTGTGCAATGTAGTCCATGGTGTTACTACATAAATGAGCATTCACAGATAAATAACTTTCTTAAATAAGCTCATCAATTTGCTAAATTTATGAATTCGCTATCTCTTGAAGAAATAATTCATAGAATATTCCAGATCCACACAACAATTGCTACTAAAAGTAATAAACTGAGTTTTCTTTTGTTAGGTGTTTCGTCTGCAACTTTCTATTCATAGGTTTTAGTTACTTCTGAAGCAACTCAAAAGATCAGAAAACAGAAATAAAATGTAAAAGCAAAGCAGAAACATTTTTCTCTTGTAGTAGGTAGGGGGATGAAACTTTAAAAATGTACATTTAGCAATATGACTAATCATGTACATTGATGGGAAGTGCAAACTCATATACATAAAGTAGACCCAAATCATTGCTCAAATCATTGAAAGTTTTTCAATACCACATTTCATTTCTGCAGAGAAACAGAATGAGTCCTTTCATCCTTTCCCTAGTTTTAAAACTATAGAGCTTTCATGGGAATAAATTAGCTTTTGCATACGGTTAATTTCCTAGCCTTGTGAAAAATGCGATTTGAGCCAAAATCTTTTCAAATTATAAATATTCTGCTGGTTTTGGGTTTGTCCACGATGGCATGCCTTGCTGTAGAGTGGAGAACCAGAACAAGACAGAAAAATCCGTACTACTTGACTATGCTTTATAGCCTACACTATACAACACTCTCTATCATCAGTAATATTTTTCAGATAAATGGATACAAATAGAAATAAAAATGCCTTAAAGAAATTTCATCTTCATATACCCATATAAATATCGGCAGCATTTGGATATTACAAATGTGATAAATAAAACCCAAAAGTCAGCAGCTTACTTTCATTTACCATGAAACATTATGGCTTTTCCATTATTATTCCACCATCACTCCTGCATAATTCTATTTAGATCAATAAGGTTAGATTGGAATAAAACTACATTATGAAGCTGATGAATCAGGACCCTTATTTTTGACACATTTAAGCTTTTCCTGGAAGACCAGATGGTAGCTGTGTGTTATTCAGATGAAATCTAAATGAACTAAAATACTCAGCATGCTTTTATTATTGGCATGTTTAGTGTGTCACCTAAAGAAATCCACAAAGGGAGATAATAAGCCTTCTCAACTGTTTCACAGTAATTATAGCCCTTGTGATAGTGCTACATTAAGATAACAAAATGTAAAATGTGTTTTCAATCAGAAAAAAAATTCACCTGTAATATTTATGCAGGAAAGGGACTGCATCAAACAGGTAACCATCAGTATATTAGACTTGGAATCAAGTGTAACAAAACCGAGTTCTGCCTGTGTTTGACACTGTACATTGTCCAAAATTTATAAAGCATATTCTTTGTTCTTAGCACAAGCCTTAGGGTTTACCAGTCCAGTTAAATATCTAATATTAAAACAATATAAAGCTTTTGGAACTTGCTTCAAACGTTGCCTTGGAGGCCTCAGGTGTTCAGAGGGACATTTTTTCATGTACTTACGGTCATTGCATAATGGTCCACTAAAGGAGGTCATGCTACAGTCACAGCTGAATCCATCCCACTGCTGTAAGCACACGCCCTGGTTTGCACAGGAATCCTCTTGGCACGTTGTGCTGGGGCCTAATGAGAACACACAAAAAAGGACTTGCACTTCGTCTTCCAAAGAAAGGCACTTCTCAGTGGGTCACATTGAGTAGTTGCCAACATCTCAAATCAAATGAGCAAAGAGTTACCGAGTCAAACGCACATAAACTCTGCTGGTTTTGGAGCAGCATGTAACATTAAAAGGGGGGGTGGTTTGCTTTAGTTGTAAGATCAATATGTCAAACACATAAGAATGCACAAAACGGAAGCAGAATTATTCCAGGTACAGTGGAATGTAAACTGGGTTGTCAGTTATTTGTTAATCTCGTGTCAGACCATTAACTGGCTAAAAATTGTCTAAAAACTTCATTATTTCTTCCTGTAAATACATTTCAAACAGCAATGCCAGATGCCACAGGAATCAAAACTCTGGGATATGAAGGACTGGATAATGAAATAGAAAAATGAAACAAATTTTCAGAAATAATAAAATGAAGCTACACTATTACAATTATTTTAATCCCACAAATTATTTTAAATGATTTAGGTCTGAAATTCAGAGCAGTTTGGATTATTTGGCTGGAATGTTGACAAGAACCAATTCACATGCTTCAGGGATCCCATGCAGGTTCCTTCTTAAAGGGGGAATGCAGAAAATCAGACTACTAATGAACTGGCATGCCAAAATGTGACATACACATGAAAAAACAAAGCTACTCTGTTTCTAGAGAATCATAACTAGACTACTGAAATATAAAGAAATTTCAAAAAGGAATGATCAAAGCACTAAAGCAATCACTATACAAACATATTCAAGACTGAAAGCCTTTATGCAAACAATGCTGGAAAACGAAGGTTCATTTAGCCAATTGTTTTAGAGGTGTGAAAAGCAAAATCAGCAATGAAGCAACACACTTTAGTTCTGAAATGTACAGAGCATTTATTGCAAAAATCCAACTGTGCATTGGGGGTTTCAGTCTTGTTTAATACACACAGGGCTATCTACCTTGCAAATCAGCTTTCATCAATGCAACTTTGTCAGCAAAATAAAAAAAAAGCAAAATATAGTAAATGTTAGTAAGCAATATTGAAATGGCAGCAAACACAGAAAAAAATCATTCAGAATAAAGTGCATGCTGCTGTTAAAGAGAGAAAGAAATGCCATATAATGCAAACAAATTAATGCTAATAGCCATAAATCTTCAGGCAAGCCAAAATAAGAAAGCAGTAATTTGCCAGTATTTTACTAGAAATATAATGGTTAATTGAGCTGATGACATGTAATGGAGGAAAATTAAAAGTCTGCGTTTTTTTCTTCCTTGGATATCTATGAATGCGTTAACAGAGTAAATGCATGGCTGAATCCTGACTAGCCTTTTGTCATGTTCAGATACACTGGATTCAAGAATAATTAGCACCATCATCCTCTGTGGTCTGCATTTTTCTAGGCCTTTCTCATTGGTGCATGAAGACTGAAATACACACCGTGAACCACAGTTTACTATGAACTCTCACACACATTTCACACTAACTCTTGACATTACAAGGAAAAAGTTTGGCTCTACAATCTGGATTATAAAATTGTCCCAAATTGTTTTGGAGGAGGCACATCAATATCCATTTGAAACTCTCACCACCAGTCATTGATGACAGGGCAAAGCTGGTCCAAAGATTACATAAATAAATTAAAAATCACGCCCCAGAAAGAAATCCTTATTTTCCCATAGACCTTCAAATATCTCATTGAAGGATTTTCTTTTGATTTGCTGGTATTAAAAAAATTTAAAATCCATATCAGAATGATTTAAGTCAGCTCAATGGCCTCTTCCTTTAAATGAGGCACAGCTCAATCTTTGAAGCAGGGCCTGAGCAGTCACCAAAGTCACTGAGAAGGAGGGCAGGAGACTGCATCCCTGTCTTGGCAAAATTATTACTTCTTCTATTTTCTCCTGTTAGGATAATAATAATAAATAAAAAACAGCACCACACCTAGAGCTGACTGCAGCAGGCAGACATTAGATAGTGATTTCCTTTTCTTTGGAGTTCTGAGCCCAGAAGTTTAAACATTTGGGCATTACATCACCCTTTTTTGAGCAGAGGATTATAATCACAGAATCTCGTAGCTGACAAGACACAATTTTTCTCACCAGATTCTGCTACTCGGAAACTTTACAAAGCTGAAGTGAAAATATCTGTAGGTGTTTAAATGTTATATATTCATGGATTTATTTACACTTTAGTTATGCAATGTTGAATTTCCTCATCTTTGCAAAAGTAGAGCAAAAGTCACAAGGACTTGAAAGTACATAAACTGCAGGACCCTGTGAGCACATTAGGAAGTGCATGTGAAAATATATATTTAGAAAAAAATGCAGATACATTCTTGTTAAAGAAATAGGGTATTTTTCTTTGTATTAAATTGATTCATAGCACTCTTGGCTTATCTCTATTAGTCATTATTCTAAAATTGTCATCAAGACTAGCTTGCATGTAAGCATTTCTTTTAGCAAAAGTAGGATTATTTTTCCCCAAAGAACAGAAGACAACTGTTTAATAGTGGTAAATACTATGATATTTACCATAACAGGTTCATCTTTTCCTATATATATATTTATGTATTGAAGAACTAAGGTAGTTAGTAAAAATACTGTAATATACTTTTTTCTAGCACTTTTTCTTTTCTTCATATTAAATTTTTAAAATATTCTAATTTATTCAGTTCTCACTGCTGACTTTTTAATTGACTGAGTTTGTGATCTCCTTTACATTTGTCCTGTGTGAGGGATTGCATGCAATATATATGACAATAAGCATTATAAACTGACACACAGATGTTTTATAATATATTATAAAACCAAATTTCTTATCTTACCACGAAGAATCTTCATGTATGTTAATACTGTGATTTTTTTCATATAGTCCATATAGTACACAAATTACATTTTAGATGCACATGTACACACAGTGCATTTTTCTTATAACTATATAAAAACTATGGTTGTATCATACTTTATTTTAAGTGGGAAAAGGAAGAACAATTGATTTGACTAGAGGAAAACAGTGTTGACATAACCTGGCTTTGGGGTTTGCCATTAACAATTCAAAGAGCTAGTTAGCATATTTATCTTTCTAGCTGTTAGTTTCTATCTGTTCTAGTCATTGAAAATTTGTCAACAAAGTGGATTCAGCCAAGTGTAAATTATGTTTCATGTTCAACGATAGAGATATCTCTCTGCCTGCGGTTGAAGCTTCAAAATGCAAACCTTCCAACTTGCCACAGCAATCCCACGGGTTGTCTTGCTAAAAATGTTTAATGCACTTATGACCATCAAATTATTGAGAAATATGAATATTTTAAGTACAAAATCTAACAGATAAAATTAATTAGAAGTACATTATGGCTTCAGAGTTTGACAGTTTAACAAGAGAGAGAAAAAAACCTTCCCCCCCCCAATATGTACCTGAAAATTGGGGAATTCAATTCCATAAATCTGAAAAACAACAAATCCAAGTGCCTCACTTCTCAGGACAGATTTTCCAGAACCTGATGTCTTAACACTGGACATATACCAGCTGTCTTTGGAATTGAGAGTGGTGGTGACTAACACTTCTGAAATTACTCCTGCTGCTGTGTCCTGAGCTCTTTGCACCTGATGTCTCAGGGGATTTCCAGGGCTTACACATCCCATTGGAGGGTGGTGCAGAACTTTCAACTCTGTAAGGATGGAGACAGTCCTGGCTGGACACAGCAGCAGAGCTAGGAGCAGCTTGAGGCATGCAAGGTTTTTCTAGGAGGCACCTAAATTCACAAGCGACCTAAATCATCTTTTAGGTGGCAGAACACTTTTTTTGGACATCTGATTCAATGGTCTGAAAACAAAAGACTGACAGATGGGTCAACATGAGGACTTGAAGTAAACAAGTGATATGGAAGAGATAACTTGCAAGGTTAAGCAGAAAGGTTGGAAGGGGATATTTCATTCCATGCTGTTAGACATTTCCTTCTGCAGGCATTTTGAGGAGGCAGTTCTCTGGTAGCCAGGCAGCACATCTGGTTTGACCGGTTTGTTGTGACAGGTGATTTTGGTGATGGAAAAAACTCACCCTCTACTAAAAAGGATAATAGCTTTATGGCCTTTATTAAATTGTTAGTAGCTTTGTTGAATCCACCGATAGCTGAGTTGTGCCAGCGGCTTAAAAGGTGAACTCACACACCAGGCTTGTGGCCATATTTCTTTGAAGTACAGAAAACTCATTTAGGAAATTACATAATTTCAAAAGAAGCTATGAAATGTATAATGGAATTAAGGCATACTTTGACTCTCAGAAGGGATGGTGCAGGGATGGAATTGCTAAAACCATTCAGGAAGAAGAATCTAATTTTCTAAACTCAGTGGCAAACTAATACATAATTTTGTATGAAAGAGATATGCAAAATTCCCATCTTATATATCTTATATTTTTATGTAGCTTTAGTGTCTGTTTCTATGTACTAACAATAGAATTTGCATTGTTAACTAAAAGTAGCAGGTAAAGAACAAAAAAGTTCCACCTGTCCAAATGTACTGTAGGCACAACAAAAGAGGAGAAAGACTTTATGCACCAGGAAGCTTTATCTTGTGAAACTTGAGGAACCGTCCCAACTCTCCTTGGATTGTTACAATGTCAATTTGCACACTTAACAAACTTGATATCAAAATCTTTATGATCCCAACTTGAAATAGGTTTTATAATGTCATTTACACATTTTTCTGTCCAGAGAAGAATGGCACTTGAGAGAAGGAAGAGCACATAAAATTGAACATAAACAAAAAAAAGTCCAGAATTATATGAATAAATTAGACATGTAGGGAGGGGAAAATGTATTCAAATTATTCCATAAACCATAGTAAAAATAACGTGGGATCAAATGAGAGCTGGAAAAATAGCTAGAGATTGACACCCTTGAATTAGAAATACACTTCTTCTAATTCTGTCCTCACTTAAATTTCATGGTATTCCAGATGAATCAATATAGACATTAAATTGTGAGATAAAACACACTTGATTGTTACTGATTTCAGATAGAAAGATTCATGTCAATACTAGTCTAAGGGGTGAGCAAAAATATATAAGATATTGGTATTAAGAAGATTGGTATTAAAAAGTTTCATAAATTAGCCTTGAATTAACCAACTCAAAAATCTCTGCTTTAAAATTGGAGTTACTTAGCTAATGTCTCAACATTAACTAATGCCTGAATGTTATGAAGATATAAAGAACTGCATTGAAGCTAATTGTTACTGTTGTTATCATTAGTTAAAATATAACAGAAGTAAACAAGACACGTGCAAAAAAATCTTGTCACTGGAGAAGTAAGGAACCTACATTTAACATTCTGAAGTTAACTCATGTTCTCAGATCAATCTCTGTGCTTTAGGGCAGGCACATGCCTGTCTCCATAATACTAAAAAAACACAGCCTTTATGTAAGAAAAGGTCAAGCAAGATCAATTAGAAGCAGGTAAAATATAGTCTCTTGATGTATGGAGTGTAAATATAAAAAAAAAACTCTGCAGGATTGGCACAGTACTTTCACTATGAGGTATATCTATATATTAAAAAAAAAAGAAAAAACAAAACCAGCATATTTAATACCTTCACATCCTCTTTCTATTTGCCCATTGCAGAAGAGAGCATCTGAGATGAGATCAGGGAGCCGTCCATTCAAGTCAACTGATGCAAGGCAGCCTTGGAATCCCTCCTTTGCATGCACCAGTTTGGGCAAGGATTTAAACATTTCTTTGGCCACTCCTCCAATATATAAATCACCTGTTGAGGAGAAATAAATATTAGATACAAAAAAGAACCAGCAGAACCTTTGATACACTTGATCTTCTGGCCTTTTTGTGCTGAATGACAGATAAGTCCAAAAAATATTCCTCAAAATAAATGTAGAAGAAAACAAACTCTGATAAGGTATATGATACCAGAGCATTGGAGGACTGTATTTTTTCAAATGTAAATGTAGACTTTAAATTTGTATGGCTGATTACTTAGAAGTACTTGGGCATTATTTCCATGTGCCAGCTCATGTGTTCAGGAAACATACATCTATTTCAGAGAGAAGGATTAAATCACAGAATCCCCATCTAGAAACTCACTAGCACTAACACAATTGTTCATCTTTTTGTTCAATATAATTGTTCATACAATTGTTATACAAGTTTTTCATACAATTTGTTCATACAGTTGCTCAATATTCAGGGAAGCTGACCACAGACCATGCCAGTGAGGGACACAGCACAGTGAGATAGAAGGCAATAAGTGAAGCCCCAAGATCCGCGGGAAGTCTGTGTATCCAGAACCATCCATTCAGAAGTACACCAAGAAATAAAAGATTGAGGGACACGTGAAAGGAGAAACTTAGAGATACCAGTGTTAAACAGCAAAATGACCAACTATCCCTGGTAAAACCCATGTGGGAGCAAGGGGAGTTAGATGCCTTTTAAACAGCAATATGAACACTAAGCAAACGGAATTTTGTTGCCAAAAATGATTCTAATGACAGACATCTATAACAAACAGCTTGCTCTAGTGAACCTCAGGCAACTTACTCAGGACTGCAAACCAGTGCTTTTCTCTCTTCATGTAATTCCTAGCTCTGTGACAGACTTATTTTGAAAGGCCGTAACTATAACTTTCTTCTTCAACACCAAGGGGAGGATGCTTTTTTGTTTTAAAACAATTCAGGCTCTACATTTCTTTCATGTGTTGGGTGTGTCTGGCAGACAGAAGAGTCACCTTTCAATCAACATAGCCTCAAGTGTCGGGCTGCAGGTTTAACCAGGTGCTTTCCATACCTGCTGCTCAGGACATGCTACAGAAAAGAACCTGCCTGCTGCTTGGCCAGAGAAGGGAAGCAGGCACAGCACAGTCTCTTTCCAAGCATTAAATCCTCATTAATGACAGATTTTTTTGCTGGCACAGATTTTCAGCAGTTTATCTGAATATACATTCTAATCTACATTGTGCTTTCCAGAACAACCCCCAGTCTGGCTGCTTTTGGATCCTAGGTCACAAGACCAGCTGCTCTAGTACCAGAGTGTTTCTGCATCACCTCAAATGCAAAACTGTTGATTTCCTAAGTGTTTGCTGAGCCTTGTAGACAGGTTTTACAGTGACAGAACTCAGAAAGTACAATTGCCACTACCCCATGTGGCTGGTTTTAATCTTGCTCTGATTGGTGTAAATCACAGATACACCTTTTACTGGTTCAGCTGGCATATTTCTTGAAAGGGACTGCAATTTAGTGCTGTTTGTAATGGTTTTCAGTTTACCTGCAAGGAAATAGCCTGAAACAAATAAATGTCTGTAAGACTGAGAAAAATCTTTAGTCACTACATGTCATCCCTAAAATTCAATTGCATTTGAATTAGTGAAATAGAGAGAAAATGGAACATGCTTAGGAAAACACCTATTAACATATAGAATTTATTAGCAAACCAGCCAAAAGTCTTAGCAATCTTTGTGGCATCATACACTAAGACACTTGAAGCTTTATCCGTTCTATGTAGATAATTTGGAAAATAAGATTTTGCTTTCCTCTAGAGCTCTGAGGTACAATGTAAATTTCACAAACATGATATTAAACATAATAGATTAAAATATGGTGATCCGTCTGTTCCCACAAATGTGATCTAATTCATTCACAGCAGAACGATTCCTGCATTTTTCAATCTGCTGAACTGAAAACAAAGTTAAAACACTTGTGTCATGATAAAGGTTCTTCATCTTTTTCTCAGACGGAACATCTAGAATGCAAAACCTTTCCAGGTTTCCTGAAGCTCTGTGCCTTCAGTCACTGCCAGCTCAGAATAGAGAGATAATTCATCTCAACTGATCCCAATAGACTTAAAAGGGGAAAACCATTCCAGAGAATAGTATTAAGAAATTCACTTCTATAATAAAAAAGTTAAACTTGATCTATTGCACATGACACGTGTAACCTCTTTTTAAAAATATACTGTCCAAGCAACGCTTTTTATTCTGTGATTAGTTACATCTTTAAAACCACAACCTTTCAGATTGATCCCCTGCTAATTCCTGATATCCATCTCTCTAACCTATTGAGATTACTATATAGAGTCATGCACTAGCTGCCAGTTATGATGGATGGCTAGCAGAAGTCCAGGTCAGTGTGCCAACATATAAGCTGGAGCTCAGAATATTTGCTCCTGAAAATATGCACTGGAACATTGCCAATTAGCTATCATATGCAGTGAAGTCCAATATATTAAGTCTAAATAAGCTGTAGCCCTACAGTTTAGTTCAGTACCATAAGAGTGTTGATAATTAGACTGATCATTTTATACTACTAAATATACGATTTTTACAAAAACATACTCTGGGTAATATTTCAATTTTGCTGATGTTCAAAATAACATTGAGTTCTGCTTTTACAAATCAAACGTGCATGTAATTTCCACCTAATATACAAATATTTATCGTATGTATTGAGTAGCCATGCTGACTATTAGACTTCACCTTTTATAAACTATATATAAAGAATTTTTATGACTATGAGTCAATCTTCCCAGATTTAATATCAAACCTTTGAAATCATGTTTTTTTGAGTTTGTTGCTGCTGGCATGAAAAGCACTTTCTCTCAGACAGAGAATTTTGCTAAGGTATAAGCTCTGGAATTGAAAGTCAGATTTTTATTTTTGTTTTAAAGTTAATTTTTTTCACTTGGTAATTTTTCTTGTCTGCTATCACAAAATTTTTGCATTGTTAGCAGTTAATCACGTGCTACTTTCATGTTCATCTCGATGAAGAAGTAGTTTCCAATGAAACTCGATCCATTAGGCTTTCAGACAAGACAGGATTGCAGAAAATATTGCTAATTAAATTTTATCTGAATCATGCAAAGCAGAGATTCAGAAAAGATAAAAGATTGTCCCTGGTCCTACTAAAAGAGACTGGGGGACTCAACATAGTGCAATACAAATTGTCAGGTTTTCTCTTTCTCGTTTCTTATGTAAGTACAGCTTCACTACTGGAAATTTTACTCCAGAGCAAATCCCTTGTTGTGCAGCTGCCTACTGACAGGTGTGAATTACATGCAAGTTATTTAATGAAGTAAGGTACCACAGTTCATCAGATCAATAGTATATGATTATGACACTGTGTAAACTGGCTGGAGCCTAAATGCAACACTAATGCTACACTGCTACCCTCTGAAAATGTGCAACCATAGTTTCTGGAACTAAAGTTCAGCTGTTGCCTTCTTTGTACATATTCTCTTCTAAAGTTCGGTTTGTTTTTTAAATGTATTCCTGAAAAATCTCATTTTTCTCATAGTAATCCTGATTTTCTTTAATTTACAAAGGAACATAAACAACTTACATAAAATAGAGGTTAATTGTCATAGGCAAAGTTGCAGGTAGTAAAGAAATAGGTGAGGTAACAGAATGACCCAAGATTTCACTTTAGAAAAGCTTTGAATAAAGCAGCATATTTGAGAGCAGATCTCACAACTCCTTTCTTTCTTGCATTAGGAATCAGTACACAGATTTATCACCTTTTTTCTTTTTTTTTTTTTTTTCCCTTTGGAGTGGGAGGATTGTTTCCTCTTTTTGTTTTTCTGAGGAAAAAAAAAAAGGTGTGCTTCAGGCATATTCTCACTGGCACATTCACTGGCACTGGACAGAGGAATCAGCTGGAAGGCAGCACTTTCAGAATTAGACCTCATGGCAATGATGGTACTGCTCAGTTATGCCATAAGCACTGATAAAGAGAAGATTTTAGTGGGTTTAATTTGCATCTTTTACAGGTACTGCAGATCTTCAGTTATTCCAACAGGATATTTCCTATTTATACATATGAATCTCTTTTCTGACTTAGAGCTGATTTGTGCTTTAATAACAAGTACATTTAACACAGAAACAAATTGCTAGCTAATAAATTAACCCGAGTTCTCAATGTATTCATTATTGGAATCACACTTATGCAAAAGCACACAGAATACCACACAACAGTGAGTCACACACAACTGTTGGTAAAACAAATGCCAAGTCCTCCTGTAATAGCTCGTCTTTTTTTATCCCAAGCCTCTGCATTTCTTCAAAATGAGAACATTGCAAATGCTAAACCAAAGAAATGTAAAAGATTGAAGATGTTGTTCTATTTTCTGACTAACTAACAGAAGCTATTAAGAGTTATTATCTGGCACTAGTGACATTGCTGACAGGTCACTTCACAAACTTTTCTCCTTTTCTCCCTTCCTGAGAATTCTTATATGATATATGCTGGTGGGCAAAAACTATTAACTCCATTTAACAGCTACCATTGTCTTCAAACATAAGTAGAGAGGGAATTGTTTTACTTGTGTTTATGATGGTAACAATGTAAGAACACTGCTCAGGTGTGACTGGTGCACCTGGACCACTTAACCAAACCAGCAGCAGTTTGGTACAGGGAGATTTGTGACATCAGAGAACAAGTAGTTAAATCAGGCTATAGTTAGACTTTTTTACCCCCCTAAATCTGTGTACATATCTGGTGTTCATTTCTTGAACACTGTTGCAGACAAGAAATGAAAATTATTCATTCAAATATGGTTCCATGTATGACTGAAAAAAAAAGGGAGGATATACAATAGTGGAAGGAATTGTGGTTTGACTTTTTCATCATCCATAAAGACAGTATCTCGAATATTTTATATGCCTGGACAAAACCATCTTCAAATCCATCATTGTCTCCAAGAGCACACATTCCCCCAATCTCTTGTTGTGTTGCTTGTTTTAAAAGTACTTTCAGCTATTCTGCT